TTGTCATACCGGTTTTATGAAACTCGTGTCAGAACTTTGTATTTACTTAGCAAGATCGAGTTAATGTTCGTAAAATAATATCATACACACGCATGTGCATTAAATATTCTCTTAATAAGCCTCGTAGTTATTAGTTTTGAGTGAGTATGTTGTAGTTTCTTCTACTCGGAAACAGTATCAACATGACGTCAACAGAAATAGTGCCACGGCACTGTAGCTCACGTGGTTATGTAGTCAACGCTTGAAATTGTCAACAATGAGAGCCACGTAAAGGTTTCTTAAATATTTCTGAATAAACATCTGCAAGAACATATTTACTATTGTAGAATATTTTTGCAATACACTCTTCAAAACATGAGACGCTCAGGTGGTATGTAGTTCATTGAACCTGACTACACAAAAAATCCGGTATATAAATTGGATATATGTTGTTGGAAAATATTGGTGGCATGATATTCGACAAACTGTGAGTCAAAACGCAGCCATTGTCGATTTCCAGTGTCTTAAATGTCATAGTTTTCGCAATTATTCAAAAATGTCACGGAGGAAAACTATTGTAGAATATTGTTGCAATACACAACAGAAGAATTTACTTTACACACAATTTGAACTCTGAGCCTTATGCACCTCCAAGGGGAATAATCTTTCAAATGATAATACACATTTTTCTAATGATTCACAGAAAGCACTACAATCCTAATGATTCTAACACAATTTATCATCTAAAACTGGCTCCCACAGAATATATCGCTTGGCTGAGACCAAGCGATATCTACATTGTAGATATATCTGCAATTAAATTGCATCACAATGCTTTGCAGACCATTGTGACGTCATTGGTTACCATGACATCACATTCAAATGACATCACAAATGGCTCTGCTACTGAAGCCGTGCGCAGTAATTTTTACACTTGAAACACTGCTTATTACTGTCTACAAACTAAACAAATTGGAAGAATGATGTTGGATGATAAATAAAATCTCACCCTCGTGTCTTTTGCTCTCAAATATATCAACACTCGTTGATAAAAGTGGAAAAAGTGGAGTTTTTCCACTTTTATCAACTCCTGTTGATATATTTGATATCATAAGACACTCGGGTGAGATTCTCAAATTATCATCACAAGTGAACATACAGCTTTCTCAATCAGATTACATTTAGATGTCTACAGGGGAAGTTTGAGCAGAAACATTTCACGTTTTTCAATTTAGTTAGCGAGGTAGCAGTTTCAGCTTTCAGTATCGACGAAGGTCGAAGTTTAAAATATCTAAAAAACAAGGAACATTTTTTTTGGATTCCCACCGACAACAGCAAGTGGACAGCACTGCAACACGTAACGGCCATAGTTGAACGTCTTGGAGATATTAGGATGGCATCATTTGTGGGAACCAACATTTGACGTTTCAACTTCACTGAACCAGTTGTTTCTGAGATGTGTTTACAGTGCGATGAAATGCATTTCGAGAGAAAATGTTATTTATCGCGAATAAAAGAACATATGTGTTCACTACAAACTACAAGTATACCAAATTTCATGACATTGTGAACGAAAATGTCTGAGAAATGGTCTTAAAAAGCTTGTTCAATATAACTACTGCCGCGGCCACATTGAAAAACGTCTTGAACGAACTGGGGTGTCATCATTGGTGGGAACACGTATGTGACGTGTCAGCGTCATTGGTTCAGCGTTTCATAGGAGAGGATGTGTAAGACGGAACACGGGGAAACCGGCTATGACATGGGATTACTTGAGTTACAGTCAATTTCTGCATTTACATGAGTGGGTAGCTTTTTACATCGCATTTACATGAGTAAGTAGCTTTTTACATCACATTCACATAAGTGAGTAGCTTTTTACACCGCATTTACATGAGCAGGTAGCGCCTTTTACATCGCATTTACATGAGTGGGTAGCTTTTTACATCGTATTTAGATGATCAGGTAGCGTTTTACATTGCATTTACATGAGTTGGTAGCTTTTTACATCACATTCACATAAGTGAGTAGCTTTTTACACCGCATTTACATGAGTGGGTAGCTTTTTACATCTCATTTACATGTGTGGGTAGCTTTTTAGACCGCATTTACATGTCAGGTAGCGCCTTTTACATCGCATTTACATGAGTGGGTAGCTTTTTACATCGTATTAGATGATCAGGTAGCGTTTTACATCGCATTTACATGAGTTGGTAGCTTTTTACATCGCATTTACGTCGCATCGCAGCAATGACGCCGAAGTACTTTTTGCATATGTACCGAATTTGGGATTAGACCCCGGATTTGGGGCCTGATAAAAAACATTAATAACAAAACAGGTCGGCAAAGAGATATCTAAAAAAGAAAAAAAATGAACGGAATCATTCGTCATGTACGCCGGTCCCTGCCCCCAAACCCACTGCACCATGCTTATGTTTATAGGGAGGCAAAGATGAAGCACACCGCCAAGTGGTCGTCTCATCCATTTGACTGTGTCAATACAGTGACTGGGTATAAGAAGGAGAAGATCGATACAATGAAGACATTTCAGAAAGTAATCGATGATATTCCGTTGCCGCGAGGCACCAGGAGGAACGCAATTTAAAACGAGGTAAATATACACTGAAACCTCTTTATTCCGGACGGTAAGGTTCCCAGTGAGATTGTCCGGATTAATACATGACCGGAATAACGATCCTTGGATTATTTATGTTTTGCGTGTGTTTGTGACGGGTGCCACCGGCGGGACAGGATACGCTCACCTTTTCGCGAACACCTGGTATCATCACTATTTGATAGTGATTCATAAACACATACTATGATATAGTCGGAATCGTACAATGGACACTGCATTTAGTAGAGATTTCATATGAATATGGTTTTGTCGCTTTTATTTGACTGTCAATGCTTGCGATGAATTGCTTACTATTAGTTTTGGACGTGTGAGTTTCGTTGAAATGCGTTGGGTTACGTTGTCTTGGCCAATCTGTATTAATACATAACATAAATTTGGAAAGGAATTTTCATGTTCCCGACCATTTGTTGTATAAATGCTGTATATATGCTTATAATGAACTACGGTTATTACGAACTAAAATTAGTGGTCCCTTCGAGTTCGCTATAACCGTAGTTTACTGTACTTCCATGTCTGGATAGTTGTGATTTCTCTGGGGACGGTGGGATAGCCTAGTGGTTAAAGCGTTCGCTCGTCACGGCGAAAACCCGCGTTCGATTTCCCGACATGGGTACAATGTTTGAAGCCCATTTCTGGTGACCCCCGCCCCGTGATATTGCTGCAATATTGCTAAAAGCGGCTGAACCATACTCCCTCACTAAGATTTCTTTCGGCATCACAGTCCATGGTGTATCTACACTCTTAAAAAAATGAAACGCACAGGTAGTATGTAGTTCATTGAACCGGACTACACAAAAAATCCGGTATATAAATTGGATATATGTTATTTGAAAATGTTGGTGGCCTGATATTCGACAAACTGTGCGTCAAAATGCAGCCATTGTCGATTTGCAATGTCATAAATCACATTGTTTTCGCAATTATTCAAAAATGTCACGGAGGAAAACAGTAAAGCAAAATGCACGTGCAAGTTATGGCATTTGTAACTCGTGGTAGAGGCAATGAAAAGGCAAGCATAAGCCAATACGTTTGTCATTTAATTGTAAACATGTTTCAAGTTCGAAAATGCCGAGACTGTCGATCGAAACATCGCCATGGGACGTATCGAAAGAGGGGAATCGCAGTCTTCTGTTGCACGCCACTTCAACGTACACCACAGCACCATTTGCCGCCTTTGGGACCGCTACACACAGTTCGATTCCACTGCAGACCGTCCGAGAACCGGCCGACCTAGAGTTACCACCCCTGCACAGGATCGCTACATTCGACTGTTAAACCTACGTCATCGCAACGCCACAGCTACGGAGACTGGAGGACGCATCACTGGTTTGAGGAAGAAATCGGACCAGACTGTCAGGGTCCATCTTCGCGAGGGTGGAATCCGACCCAGAAGACCAGTTATTGTCCCTGTTGTGCAACAGATCCATCGACAGCGACACCTTACAGCCTTGGAATTTGAGAAACTGGAGACGAGTGTGGTTTAGCGATGAGTCACGATTTCCGCTTCACCGGCGAGATGGAAGACAACGTGTTTATCGTCGTCGAAATGAGCGTTTTGCTCCACATCGTGTACGTAAATTCAACAATTTCGGTGGCGGTAGTATCATAGTGCGGGGGCCATATCCTACACCACGAGATCTGACTTGGTTGTTGTTCAGGGAAATTTGACAGCAAATCGCTACATGAATCATTCTTCAACCTCACCTTCTTCCAATCATTGATCACTAGAGGGAGCTGTTTCAAAAGGACAACGCTCCACCGCACACAGCTCGTGTCAGGGTAGACTACCTTCATAATGCCAACATCAATGGCTTGCCCTGGCCACTGAGTTCTCCAGATCTCAACCCAATCGAACACTTCTGGGATGAACTCGATCGGCGTGTACGTCAACGAACGCCAGAACACGCTGCAGACGCTCCCACAACTGGCCACCGCGTTACAAGCAGAATGGCGCAGAATTCCGCAGGACAGAATTCGTACATTTATCCAGTCAGTGCCGAGAAGATGCGGACCCGTGATCGCTCCCCGGTGCGGTCACAGCGCAACCTTGTGGCCTTATGTGACATGCCAATGAACAGTTTTCAATGCCTTTGTACAACGGCAACATGTGACTATCGAGCTCGAAAGTTTCATATTTGTATCTATGATATTAAATTAAATATATCGACTTTATCAGGTACAATAAATTTACTAAAAATCTCCCTGTGCGTTTCTTATTTTGAAGAGTGTATACTGAATTTGAGATTCAGTCCCGAATAAAAAAATGGATAATGTCAAATAAATAATGATTCATAAAAGAACCCTCAAGGTTGTCCGAACCCTTAAAGATGTTGCTGTATGTTGCTGGGGATGAGGATGAGTTTTTTTATCACGGGTGGCTACCTACCTCTAGCGTTGACCTTCTGCAGAAGTCTGTCCACGATGGTGTCGTAAGCCTCGCCACTGGCCACGCCCGAGTCCTTCAGCAGTTTCTCTGTGGTGGCGAGACAGATCCCGTTCTCTTTCAGCAGCTTCTCCACCTCGTTAAAACCCTGCAACAAACCACAACTCCAGGTAAGGCCGCGCAAACACGCTACCACACTAATATAAGGGTAACGCTATTTTTCAGGGCATTATCATTTGCAGAAGCCCAAGGTCTTCCATTAACTGCCCGACGAAGAGGGCAGTTGAAAAGACCGAGGGCTTCTGCAAATGATAATGCCCTGAAAAATAGCGTTACCGTTATTATAGCTAAAATGGATGGAATTTGTTATCAAATAAAAAGAAACAACAATGTCGATTTTGAAACATTTACTGCAATCAACACGAATGTCACTGACCCACTTTTACAAATATGGAAACGTCATAGAACAAACCAGATGACGTCACTATTGAACGTTACGTCACCTATCCCTATCCTATGACGTCAACTAACAACGGGCGTGATAATGGCCCGTCGTCAAGTAATATGAGGGCATTATCAAGTTACAGTGGCCCGCTCATTTCTTATAACATGCGGGCGTTTTTATGATAATTCTAACCATTTTAGCTATAACACAAGGTAAAAAATAAAGTATGTATAAAGTTCATTCTAGCCTGTTTCACTGAACGATTGAAAGCGGCGACAGGTTTTTTTATTCTGGGATGAAGTATACGTGTTGAGTTATAATGGACTGACGTCCTGACACTGTTCCAATCCCTCTCCTACACACACGCACGCATGCACGTACGCACGCACGCAGGCAGGCACGCACGCAGGCACGCACGCACAAACACAAACACACACACAAACACACAAAGTAACATTGTTATATTTAATCCTGTCAATCACGCAAGCTCATCCACATTTGGCAAGATGTTGTCAACCGTCCCTCCTGCCGCAGGTGGTGTCCCCCGCCGTGATATTGCTGGAATATTGCTAAAAGCGGCGTAAAACCATACTCACTCACTCACTCACTCCTGCCGCAGGGTGATCCCGAATATATACAAACCACAGTGGCCGTGCCACATCTGCCACAAAAATTTTCGAGTCGGATGCCCTACGAACCATGTCTGTTTTTTCCATGTCACAGGAATGAACAATCAAAGGCACAGGTATCACAGGCTGACGAGACAGAGCTCGAATATTACTGACTGCAGCGTTAAAACAACCATCCACATCATCTCCATCTGTATCACGTCTTTAAATCTCGTTAATTTACAATATCACGACGCGGGAAACCCGAAAAGGGCTTTATACATTGTACATTGGAGAATCGAACTTGGGCATGATGAGCGAACACTTTTACAGCTAGGCCACTCAAAAAATCCCAATGCATTCGGACACATAAACATATGCGTAGCTTCTTTATTTTACACACCTGACACCAACCACTATATACGCTCATCCCGACTGTTAGAACTAAATACGAGTGGAAGCAACACAAAGTTTTAATCCCTGTCCATTGAGGCTATATGCTTGTCCAGGTTCTCTCCAAGAAAACACTAATATAAACTGACAAAATGCTTAATAAAAATTGGCACATAAAATAAATGGCGAAATGCTTCAATAAAACCTTTAATTATAAGTGACATGCAAGAAAGTGAATGAAACGAGTTAATCAAAAAATTAAATGCAAGTGACATACGAGTAAAGGAGTGAAGCAGGTTAATAAAATCTTTAAATACAAGTGGCGTGCAAATAACGGACTTTTGTATAAAACACAAAGAAAGCACTGACACGTGAATCTAATCCTTAAATACACGTGACAAACAAAGCAACAGCCATTTCAAAACCTAATCTAGCAAAGGAGAACATTAAAAAACAGTTTGTAAAATCCTGTACATTTGTTTTGATAAATCAATCACATTTTCGGAAAAAAGCAAACACTTTTCAAGCGTATATACATGCAAACAAGACACACCAGTCTTAACGCGCCACGTGTGTGTACATATTCAGTCGATCACGTGTGGATGCAGAGGTGATACACCCCTGCCCAAAACAAACGTCACCTCGATCGCTACTAGGACGCCTACATTCTGCGCGATTGTTTGAACATTGTTTTGACTACTATCATTCACACAAACGTCCAAATGCAGCGATCACTCCCGCTTTCGGTCGCGACATTCGTGCTGTGGGCTAGCTCGGAGACGTTTCTTTTGAACAGCTGTGTAAATGTTGTGATACTATATTCTAGAATTTAATCGTTTTGTTCAAAGTTTAAATATGACTCCGTCTGGGTCTTCGCGTTTTCTTAAAATGGCGCAGATATTCAGGATTGGCGTTGGCTTCAGAAACGTGAAAGTGCTTTAAACACAAGTTTCATGTTCCGAGATTCCCCAGTAATTTCTTCAGCCCATGAATACGTCGTTCCTTTCAAATTATTTGGCGTTTTTTTTAACAGCATTTCTAAAATGCTTTAAACGGAAAATTAAACTTAAAGGCTCCTAGTTATTGACGCTTTAACTTTTTTCAAGTGAACGCAATCTCGTATTTCAAACATCATTCAAAATAAATAAACACTTGCACATTTCCTTTCACAGTAAATAAACACAAAGTTTATTAAAATACGAATCGATAGCAGATGCGAGAAAGGTCGTAGTTTTATATTAGAAAAGTGAAGCCGTACCACATTAACTTGACCTTGACCTTTGACCGTGTCGACAAAGCTCTCTTGTGACGGTGGGTTTTAAATTGGGTTGAACACCGCGAAGGTTGGCGGGAAACATAAATCATGGCTTTGAAGGAAACGAAACGAAATTCCACTTTTGATTAAATGATATAAATCTTTAGTGCGTAAGGGAATGCCTGACGGCTGAATAGGCGATGTTATTGCTGCAATCGATGTCGTTCCCGGAGTCGGTTCTCAATACCTTGTAATTAAGTGCTCAGGAATATATAACTGTTGATTTCATGCTAAGGCGCATGTGCATTAACTTGGCGAAAGAAAGACAATAGTTTTACTATTAGGATTTGCTGCCAAGCAAATATGAAACGGAAACATATAGCCTACCGCTGTCACTGTGTTAACGAAGGGGTAATCAAACTTTTAATTTCGGCATGTAGTTTGTATTATGTTTGACTTCAAAGAAAATCTTTGTTGGGTTGCTGTTGAATTGGGAATAAACGAATACAAAGGTTCCACTGTTAAAGAGCGCTTTTATTGTTATGAGACAGTGCTAGATACTTAAACCATTATATACATAACTAATTTAATCATTTCGTTCAATTGGGTTTAATTTGATAATTAACTTATCGCCAGAGATCTAATCGTAATGTGCGTTTCTTTGTATCTGTGCGCGTGTTATAACATCGCGTGGTAATTTCTGGAGATATTAGCGTCTTTCATGTTTTCTAACTGCTCAAAAGTTTAGATTCATATTTGATGGTCAATTGCACTGTAAAAAAATCTAACAAAATATTTTCATAAACATTTAGATAATATACTTCCATTTTTCACGTTTTCTAAGCTTGAAAGTTTTATATCGTTCATGTTAACTGGAAAATAATGAACAATGGCGAAAGATATTATTATTTGAAAAGAATAATGGCCTGACTCAAATGTATATCGATGTTGGGCTGACTTGTCATTCATGTGGTTTGATTGAGAAGTGGCTAAGAAGTTCAACTGAAGGTCTTTTGAAAGTCACACATAATTAATAAGTTGTTAGGCAAGTATTAGATGGCCGTTGGTCAGTTGTGTGCGTATGCAATGGGATTACATAGACAGTGAACGGCGAGGGTGTTTAAAACACTGCCCTGTTGAATTTATCCCCAAATGCAAACAACACATTACCTATTCACATCAACCCCAACATAATGAAACCCCCTTTGTATCGATTTCCCAAAGATATGGACCGGTTCCACAAAGCGATCTTAACTCAAAGACGCACGAAACTTTGTGTTTAACATAGGCGGATCCAGAGGGGGTGTCGAGGGTGTTCGGACCAGCCCCCACCCCTCCCCTTTTTGAAAACCAAATGTACAGTAAACTACGGTTATAACGAACTCGACGGAACCACTAATTATAATTATCGTTATAACCGTAGTCCGTTATAGGCATATATACAGTCAGCATATAAACAGCAAATGGATGGGGGTCCAAAACAGTTCGTGTTAAGCGTGTTTGCTATAAACTTAGTTGTGTGTCGTATGCAGTAAAATTATCTGAGAGAGGACTTTTATACCTATTTGGACCCCTCCCTGTCACGATTGCTGGATCCGCAATTGTTTTGCAATGTGAGTTGCGACAGTCGTAGACCGCTTTGTGCCACTGACCCCTGACCCCTGACCCCTGACCACCACGCACCTGCATGCCGTAGCTTGACTCCTCGTACACCACGGACACGTATGTCCACTTCAACAGCTTGACCAGCTCGACCATAGCCTGGGCCTGGTTGACGTCGGAGGGGATTGTCCGGAGGAAGTAGGGGAAGCGCTCCCTGTTGCTCAGCACTGGACTCGTGGAGAAGAAGCTCACCTGGGACAGAGGAAGAAGTCAGTGAGTGAGTGAGTTGGGTTTAACACCGTTTGAACCGTATTCTTATTGTATCAAGGCGTGCCAGCTTGATGTTTGTTTGTTGCTTAACGCCGCACTCAGCAATATCCCAGCTATATGGCGACGGTCTGTAAATAATCGACTCAGACAATCCAGTGATTGATGTCATGAGCATCGATCCACGCAACTGGGTGACATTGGCATACATTATCCAAGTCAGCGAACCCGACCTCCCGACAACGTTAGTCGCCACTTACGACAAGTATAGTCACCTTTTACGGCAAGCATGGATTACTGAAGACCTAATATACCCCGGATGGTAATGGGTCTAGCCGGAAGTGATGTAGGTGGTAGATGTTTACCACTGTGGTGCAAGCTGTGGATACTGGTCTGGTGCTGGCAAACCACGGGTGACAATTTATAGCTACATGTGAGTTTCGAGTAAAAGTGGGCAAATGTACATGCATTCCTTCCGTCGACCTTCTACATTGATATGTAATTGTGCTGTAATCAGTCTACTCGTTGGCCCTTTTAACTAGGTGGCATCTTGCAGACACTGGACAATGGTCTTCTGGCCTGGATTTGCTTCTTCAATACTGTTAAAGGGCAAGTTCACACGGAAATGAACCAATTTTTCTTGTACTTTTTCCACATTAAAAGTGTTAACATAGAAGTGTCATAGACAAAAATATAAAAACATCATATTTAATAAACATATTTTTTGCATTAAAACGATTTATATTTTTCACATTTACCAAGTGTTCTATTTCCATAACAAAAACACCATGGCTTATGCCCCTTGCAATATGACGTCATTGGTGCCAATTGATAAACATTATGACGTCATCATGCTTTGTTAGAGCCGCTTCACGTGGTGTAGGTACAGGTGTGTGATTCTAGCGTCTCAGATGCCAGCCAGCATAGTGTTATGCTGAGTCACCACTGCGCCGGAGTGTGTCGTAGGCCATGTTGTTTTACCGAAAACTGGTACTTGATAGCTTTTGCGTTCAGAATAGACAGGGACCCAGTTGAATTGGCACCAATTACGTCATAATCTAAGGGAGATAACTCAGGCCTGTTTAGCTCGAAAAACGAAGGCCTCATAACGGCATATCATTTTCACACTATTGTGAGCTTCCTACTTTCACTGTGAAAAAAAATGAGTGTATATTTTCAAACACATATACTAACTAATTCTAAAATTGCGTTTTGTTTAGAAAAAGAAAGAAAGTAATTTTTGCGTGTACACTTCCCCTTTAAGTGAATGTGTTGAAACATCTATTGATCTGTATGTGTTGGACTATGGTGATATATTTATACCACAACAATAGCCAGAAGTATTTAGGGAGCGTGAGCAAGGCCCTGTACATTGATTTACTCAACGCCAACAATGGCCAAATGATTAAAGGTGTTTTACCCCTCTTTACACAGCCGCAAATTGCAAATAGTGCTGAGCTGGCAGAAAATAGCATTTACGCATCAGTTCCTTCCGCAATTTTTCGTTGATTGCTCACTGAGGGTGCAGATCAGGCGACAAACGGGAACTAGGCAGGGGCGAGAGTGGAGGTGGTTGTAGGGATCGGGGGTCACAGGGAACGAGACGGGGACGAGAGAGGAGGTGGGTGTAGGGATCGAGGGTCACAGGGAACGAGACGGGGACGAGAGTGGAGGTGAGTGTAGGGATCGGGGGACACAGAGAACGAGGTGGGGACGAGAGTGGAGGTGGCTGTAGGGATCGGGGGACACAGAGAACGAGGTGGGGACGAGAGCGGAGGTGGGTGTAGGGATTGGGGGACACAGAGAACGAGGTGGGGACGAGAGTGGAGGTGAGTGTAGGGATCGCGGGACACAGGGAACGAGACGGGGACGAGAGTGGAGGTGAGTGTAGGGATCGGGGGACACAGGGAACGAGTTGGGGACGAGAGCGGAGGTGGGTGTAGGGATTGGGGGACACAGAGAACGAGGTGGGGACGAGAGTGGAGGTGAGTGTAGGGATCGCGGGACACAGGGAACGAGGTGGGGGCGAGAATGGAGGCGGGTGTAGGGATCGGGGTACACAGGGAACGAGACGGGGACGAGAGAGGAGGTGAGTGTAGGGATCGGGAGACACAGGGAACGAGGTGGGGACGAGAGTGGAGGTGGGTGTAGAGATCGGGAGATACAGAGAACGAGGTGGGGACGAGAGAGGAGGTGAGTGTAGGCATCGGGAGATACAGAGAACGAGGTGGGGACGAGAGTGGAGGTGGGTGTAGAGATCGGGAGATACAGAGAACGAGGTGGGGACGAGAGTGGAGGTGAGTGTAGGGATCGGGGGACAAGGAAACGAGGTGGGGACGAGAGAGGAGGTGGGTGTAGGGATCGGGGGACACAGGGAACGAGACGGGGGCGAGAGAGGAGGTGAGAGTAGGGATCGGGGGACACAGATAACGAGGTGGGGACGAGAGTGGAGGTGAGTGTAGGGATCGGGGGACAAGGAAACGAGGTGGGGACGAGAGAGGAGGTGGGTGTAGGGATCGGGGGACAAGGAAACGAGGTGGGGACGAGGGAGGAGGTGGGTGTAGGGATCGGGGGACACAGGGAACGAGACGGGGACGAGAGAGGAGGTGGGTGTAGAGATCGGGAGATACAGAGAACGAGGTGGGGACGAGAGTGGAGGTGGGTGTAGAGATCGGGAGATACAGAGAACGAGGTGGGGGCGAGAGTGGAGGTGAGTGTAGGGATCGGGGGACACAGAGAACGAGGTGGGGACGAGAGAGGAGGTGAGTGTAGGGATCGGGGGTCACAGGGAACGAGGTGGGGACGAGAGTGGAGGTGGCTGTAGGGATCGGGGGACACAGAGAACGAGGTGGGGACGAGAGTGGAGGTGGGTGTAGGGATCGGGGGACACAGAGAACGAGGTGGGGACGAGAGAGGAGGTGGGTGTAGGGATTGGGGGACACAGAGAACGAGGTGGGGACGAGAGTGGAGGTGAGTGTAGGGATCGCGGGACACAGGGAACGAGGTGGGGGCGAGAATGGAGGCGGGTGTAGGGATCGGGGTACACAGGGAACGAGACGGGGACGAGAGAGGAGGTGAGTGTAGGGATCGGGAGACACAGGGAACGAGGTGGGGACGAGAGAGGAGGTGAGTGTAGGGATCGGGGGACACAGAGAACGAGGTGGGGACGAGAGAGGAGGTGGGTGTAGGGATTGGGGGACACAGAGAACGAGGTGGGGACGAGAGTGGAGGTGAGTGTAGGGATCGCGGGACACAGGGAACGAGGTGGGGGCGAGAATGGAGGCGGGTGTAGGGATCGGGGTACACAGGGAACGAGACGGGGACGAGAGAGGAGGTGAGTGTAGGGATCGGGAGACACAGGGAACGAGGTGGGGACGAGAGTGGAGGTGGGTGTAGAGATCGGGAGATACAGAGAACGAGGTGGGGACGAGAGAGGAGGTGAGTGTAGGCATCGGGAGATACAGAGAACGAGGTGGGGACGAGAGTGGAGGTGGGTGTAGGGATCGGGGGACACAGGGAACGAGACGGGGGCGAGAATGGAGGTGAGTGTAGGGATCGGGGGACACAGATAACGAGACGGGGGCGAGAATGGAGGTGAGTGTAGGGATCGGGGGACAAGGAAACGAGGTGGGGACGAGGGAGGAGGTGGGTGTAGGGATCGGGGGACACAGTGGACGACAGCGGAGCTGGGAGGGTTTCAGGTGTGTCGGTTAATGAGGATAGGTGTAAATTGGGGATGAGGGTGAGAGTCAGGAGGGGGTGAGGATGAGGTTGATCTGTAAGAGTATTTGTGGGTTGGTGGTTGCTGATGTGGAAAGTGAGTAGGCCGTTGGGATGAGGATGAAGGTGATGATGAGGCTGATGTTGATGGCGAAGGCTAAGTTGAGTTATAGGTGGGGGTGCGGGTTAACGCTAGGGAGAGGCAGAGGGTGTGGGTGAGGGTCAGGGTGTAGCTTGTGATAGGGATTAGTTATGCGGCGAAGTGGGGAGAAAGCTGGAAGCGGAAGAGGGTGGGGGTTAGCATCAGGGAGGAGTAAGCTGGTAGTGATGGCGGAGGCAACGACGAAAAGCAAATGTCCTCATAATGAAACGTTTCTAGGCCTTCAAGTTGACAGGTGTAAAGGGCCTGGTACTGGTATATTTGGTTTCTCGTGACGCGGATCATGTAGACGGACCGGCTCGATATCCGACATGAGAACACGTAGGAGACCACTTACAGTCGCCGAGTCCTATATCATCACACACTATATGTGTATGAACACACTGATAATCTAAGCAAAGTTTGATTACGGACAAAGTAGGTATGTCTACATTGAAGCCCATATCTAGACATACTTGTAATCTTGTGTGTTGATTGGGGAATGTATGACAATTACTCGCTGCGTCCCGACAGGGTTATTATTCCGATTCTCCACAAAAGATATATTACTCAGGTCCCAGCGTGTGCCTGATTGACGTGGAGTAGCTTCCAGACTGGGTGTTTCACGAACACGACAAAGCACTAGCTCTTCCAGGAAATGTCAGAAGTAACCAACCCACCCTGAAGGATCAGTGTCATTGGCTCCGATGATGTAACACTGCCATGATAAATCTATCGCCACCGCGATGGCGTCATGCTTCGCGCATAGGTCTGCGCATGTCGGTCACTTCCGCTTCCTGTTTAGTGACTGTATGCTCTCACGAATACTTCCCAAGGGATGTCTCCCAGAAGAATGTTTTTAGCGGATGTATCGCTGGATGTTTTCGCAGTATGAGTACAAACAAATAGAGTAATATCCATGGCTATGCGCTAATTTAACGATAGTTTAAAAATAATAACTTGTTCTAGAATGTAATGGAAAAATACTTTGCCTGAGGTACTAAAACAGAACAGAAATGTTCAGTCCCTCCTTGTCTTGAAGAGAAGATTAAAAAATATTATGTCTCTAATAAAAGAAAATCCACCTCGCGACCTCACTCCCCCTCTCTCCACACACACACACGCA